CCTTGGCGTGGATCAATATCTAGTTGCCATTTCATTCATAAGTAACGATTCACATTTTTATTCTCTCTTAATTAATATTTCCAAATTGTTTCTCTCCCTTTCAATCTCTCATGTCTTTTTCCAACATTAAAAAAAGGAAATTATGATGTCATTATCTATTAATGTCTGTATTCATGGACCATTTAGAGGCACTCGAGGAATCACACAAGGGGATCCACTTTCCCCTTATCTCTTTAGCTTAGCAATGAATAAAGTTAAACCAAGCTGTTGAGGAACACAAGTTTGGGTATCATCCAAAGTGTCAGGATTCGAAGCTTACCCATTTGTGCTTTCATTCAATGTTTCGAGGATTGGGGATAAAAAAAAGGTTCAAGTATACAGTCAGACCTGCGCTTTAAAGCTGTTGTGGCTAATCTTCTTCAGAATTGAATCCATTTGGGTGGCCTGGATACACGATAATGTTATTAGAGACTCCAATATCAGGGCAATGAAACCAAAGCAAACTGATACCTGGACTTTCAAGCAAATCCTTAAAAAAAAAAACATTGGCTTCTCAATGGTTTAGAACTATACCTGGTAATGGTAGACATTCTAGCTTCTAGGACTACATTGGGTCCTCTAATCCCATACGTAGGATCAACTGGGCCTCGGCAGACTGGTATCCCAATTACTGTAACTGTTTCTTCAGTTTGGCGTCGTGGGCACTGGATGGAAAGGTCTAGGAGCATTGAACAGATGCTCATACACATCACATCTATTGCTATCTCCGATGATGAAGTGGACTAGAGCAGATTCAACATCAACCAAATCTACCATCTTAGCAGAGAAAGGAGGGCGCTAGTTCCTTGGGAACCAATTTGTTGGTTCAAACGAGGGGTCCCCAAACATCAATTTCTTACTTGGATGTTCCGACGAAAGACCGTATGATTGGGTGGGTCATTAGGACAGATCCGACGTGCCTCTATGTAACTCATGTATGCAAAGCAGAGATGGATCACTTATTCTTTGATTGTGGGAACTCAAAGGCTGCTTGGAATATCCTAACTACCGGCTTCAGACTTCCTCGTGTTAGAATTATGTGGAAATATATATTTAGAATGAGAGATTAAGAAGAGAGAATAGCATTGGAGAATTGGAGAATGAGAAGAATTAGAATTGAATGTGTGTAATTTGATTGCTTTGATTTACAATCTATTTATAGGAGAACAAAGTGGCATGCTCTTCTTTAACCCATGCTTCTTACACCCATACTTTGATGTTTTCCATGCATGTTCTTCTTTAGCCCATGCTTCTCTTTCTTTATCAATATCCTACCCATACCTTGATGTATCATTTTGTCTTCTTTCTTTTATCAATA